TCCTTGCATCTCTGTTGGCTACATCTCCATTTTAGAAGTCAGAGTGACTATAAAGTCCAATCCATTTCATTCAGCATAAATTCAATTCTGTAATGTTTGGGTGGCAAAAAGATTTCCTATTGTCCTCCCTGGCTGACCCGCAAAGGGTCAAATATACTTAGTTCCTAATATTCACAGTTCATTAAAATATCAGCTTCATTGGGGAAGCAATTAAAACTGCAAAGTGATTTTTAAACGTCTGTATATGCCATTATTGATTGAAAAGTATAGAATTCTGGATGTTAGATGGGAGTTCTGATGTGAATAAGATAAATAAGTTGTGTGAAGACATGATTTATCCTGATGAAGTGTCAGTATCTTCACCTGGAGACTGAGGCAAAAAACAGCTGTAGTTTTTCACTAGTGTATCTGATCTGTTCACTCTCTTTTTGACTTTTTCCCCCCATCTCTGTTCTGTATATTGAAGTTCACATATCTTTTGATACAGATTTCTCCTTGAAAACTGTAGAAATATCCTAAAAGAACTTATTCACCCATTGGACCTTTCCAATCTCTTCTTTGTTCTTTACTAAGGAGTAGAAAAAGAAGCAGGGAAGCTGGCACAGCTATGATAACCCAGATCTTTTTTTGGTATGAATTCAGACGGTTTTCCCCTGGGAGGTGATCGCAAAAACAGTAGGCAATTTGCTTCTTCAGACCGCTGGAAGAAACTCCTTTTGAGTTAAGATTTCCCTTCCTCATTAACATCATGAAGTTCTCACTTAGCCAGCTTGGGTTTTGCTTTCACATGCACACACGAGCACTTGTGCAGGGACAGGTATAAGATAGGCATGAACGATCTTTGGCTTCATGTATCCCTGGATGAGACTGAACTCTGTAACCACTGCACTGAAGCCAGGAATTAAAACACATCAGTTAATGTTTCTGTTTTTAAGAAAGGCATGACCCATCAGGAAATTCTATGAACTCAGGGTCTGTACTTTCTGTGTTCAGATGGTGTTTTCAGGTGACAAACTTGGGAGACCTTAACATGCTATGATGGATTAGTTTGTGAGACTGCCAGAACATTTTGTGTTTGATTAATGGTTGCTCAGACACTCAGCTCTTTCAGCAGTGAGATGTATTTTGAGGTAGGTGTTTACAGTGATTATTGATACTTTTTTTTTCCCACTAATCATTAGGATGGTAGCTACCCAGGGAACTGGAATTAAACAATCTGCCTAAGAATTCATCATAATCAAAGGGGTTGGCAATTAATGGCTAATTGAATTCACTGAGATAGTGTGGGAAAGGAGTGTTAATCTTGTTGCTCCTCTATAATGGAAAGTGGGCAGATACAGAACTGTTTGATGTCAATTGGGAATGGATAACATTTCCACAACATAGTAGGTTACTTACACAGATCAGTAGTGAACTTAATACAGCTATTCACCTCCCCAGGCACAATAAATTGAAAGAACCCTTTGGATTCTTTCCCCAGTTCGGATTTATTGTAATGACTGAGGACTTTGAAAGCTCAGTGAATACCTTTGAGTTAGGAATAGCACCCAGAAGAGAGAACGGCTGGCTTACATGACTGGAAGCGTCTGAAATATGTAACTAGATAGGCTCGCTCACACACCAGAAAAAAATGGGAGCTAGAACAGCACAACAGAGAGATCATTGGTGGTATCAGGGCAGGGCACCTTGCAGAAATTAGACCCAAACAATTAGAAAACATGTTAATTGTTTTTTGGATTTTTTTTCTCATCTTGTTTTATCCAGGATATAGTTAGTCAAAAAGAAAAAGGAAGTTTGAAGCTCTCTGCCCACTCTTGAACATGTTTTGCTGACAGGATAGTCCAAGCTCTCCTGCTCTTTACAGAAACTTTCATTAGGACCATAGTCACCCCTACTGGATCACTGGAATGTTAAAATGAATAGAGCTACCTTGATTTAACCAAACTAAAGTAGACTATTTAATGTAAAATGTAGATCCCCAGTGAAAGAGGCTTAGAGCTCATGAGTTGTTTATACCAAGACACTACCAGCTTCATGGAAATCATGACCCAACCCTAATTACCCCATCTAAGCTTATTAACTAGTCAGCAGTCAGACTCATATGGAATGCCATGAGAAGCTCCATTACAGCCCAAGGAAATTACTAAGACTGTTTCTAGAAGTTTAAGGGACAGAATCTGATTTCTGCAGAATAGGTTTCATGGCCACTAAATCCTGACAGAGGAAGATACTCAGCCTATCCGATCCGAGTTCAGGGATATTGACCCTGAATTGCATCCGACCCTGAAGGAGGGACAAATGCCTGCCCGGCTCAGTCCTCTCTTTATGGAAAACAGAGAGGAGAATTTAAACCTGTAACAGTTCTGTAGAACCATCCTTAGCCAAGATACAAGACACTAGGCTAACACAGTTCAATTAGCTATACTTTGTAGCAATACCAAAGAATCCTGTGCTATGCTTACAACTTTCTAATTTTAGTGAATGAAGATCGCTGCTTTCTAACACCATGCTGTGAAGATAAACCATCCAGTTACAGTGTCCTAGCTCCTGACAAAGAGAGTCCTTTGTTAGCAACCTGTCTCACTCCACTTGGCAGCGAACAGTTAGCTATTCCTCTACACGGCGTCAGTGTGCCTACCTTGCAGCCCATTGCCACGGCTGGCTTTCAGACTTCCACAGGGCTGTAGCAAAGCTAGGCAGCCCAAAATGCCTGAGAAACTCTAACTGTGTTCTGTGAAGATAGAATGTGCCCGGTGTGGATGGCATAAACCTGGGAAAGGCTAAGGCAACAGAGGGGCCAGCGTTTCTTGAAATACTTCCAAGTGCCAGCAAGGCTCCATCACCAATCCGAAACAGACGAGATGGATTCTGCAGGAATCATGGTATGACCTGGAAACAATTATATTTCCACGGTTATAGATGAAGAAGGCCTTAAAAAATGTTTTGCATACACAAAAATTGCTATCTGTGCTCTTGGAATGATCTTCTAACGACTGGGAATCTTATAAAAATTACCTCTGCAGTTTCAGATGGAAGTCTTATTCCTCAGTTCCAGGACTGAGCCAGGGAATCATTTTCCCGTGTGCTGTTAAACAGGTGCCTTATTGTGTACCAGAGGTGGCTGCATTTTAATATTGATAAAATTACTCCTGTGCACAGATAATCTATAAACCACTTCAGGATCAAAGTCATTCTAAAGGTATTTACTATTGAGGGGGGGAAAAAAAGGTCTCTGTCTCTGTTAGGTTTCACATGGAAAATGATTTGCTCCATAGCTTGAATTTATAGCTTCTTCCTCTCCATCTGATGAATACATATGATTCAGGGACTAGTATTGTCTGTTTTAATGTAAGACATGCAGAATTTGACCATTTTCATAACAAGCTGGTGAACTCATGAGGTGATGGGATAATCACGTCCTTCGACTTTCTGAACTGTATTTCTAGGTACAAAACATTAGAAAAATGAGGTACCAAAGACACTAAACTCACTGTATACATAAAGGCTTGGTAAGATGAAGCGGTCAATTTGGGTTTGGCAGCACTGTGGAATTCAGTCAAAAATGTATGTGAAACATGGATGGAGAAAGCATGTTCCATGCTCTGGTTGCCTAATTTCTGTGTTGCTGTTCACAGAATTTGTATGAAGGTATCTTGCAAGTGATTGGGAAAGAAGATGAGAATGAACAAGAAGAGGTTAAACTCAAGCAAGGCTTAAGTGAAATCCCTGCAATTTATGAATTACATCAAGAGATTCTGGGAGAACTGGAAGAAAGAGTCTTTAAATGGTAAGGAATGGCATTTTGATGGCCTTGATGTATCTTCCCCATAGCTCAGAATTCCCCTGACTTGTAGCAAGAATGGGTTTCCAGCAAAGATGAAAGAAAAACCTTAACTCCTTTGGCAGATTTTGGCCAGGCAGGAAGCAATCAGATTGAGAAACCAAATACTGAAACGTTTGTGTAGTGCTGGTTTATATCCCCACGTACAAACACAGCACATGCTCCCGGACTGATGAAGGCAAGCCCATATACACAATCCATGGCTCCAAAGCATCCCAGCCTGTCAGTGTGAGCCCAGAGTGCTTCATGAACAGTACCATTTCTTGCTTCACTTTGTATGCTTAATGAGTTCAATTTGAAACCTTCATCAGAGGGTAAGCATGGCCTGCAGATGAAATATTCAAACTGAGAGGCAGAGGCACCAGAACTGATCTTAACGAAAAAGATTCTCTTACAAAAAATCTTCACAGCGTTTGTGTAGCTCTCAGACAAGGGTCAGCCCCTCGCTCCAGAGTCAAGGCAAGGCTCTGTGCAGACTGAGCTTCCAAGCCAAACAGACAGTCAGCTAGCTGAGGGACTCCACCTAAGCCAAACATCCTACTGGGGCAAAGCATTTCCATGAAAGAATGGCCCTGCCTAAGACAGAAAAAGCTCCAAGCTCTTTTAGTTAAAGAGACCTCTGACTTAATCCTGGCTAATTAGGTCTCAGTCTATCAAACTGTTAGGAAAAGACTGCCTAAAATGAATTGCCTCTGCAGTACCAAGCCTATTACACCTACAGCAGCCAACACAGCCCACAGCCTAGACTAAACTATTCTGTCTCCAACAGCACATGACAGACTGCATAGCCTGGTACTGCCACCCCAGGGGGCTCCACCAAGCAGCTCTGACTGTGGCTGCCTTACGCCAGTGCTTCCATGGAACAGTTAATGAAGTCAACTAAATCAGGAAAACTTTTCAGAAACAATCTTAAATTCAGTGCACAGCTCTACTGATGAGCTCTGAACTTTCAAATCAAAGGGTTCATCAAGTTAAAGGAAGCTTTATATTGGTTTGTGTCCTCCAAGGTCATGTTATGAACTGCAGAAAAGCTTAAAAATATCCCGTCAGGAGATTGTGCTCCCAATTGTGAACATCAAACAACGACTGTGAACATCAACACAGAGTTGGTGTTTCCAGCAGCAGTAGATGAAATCCAGAATGACTTGTGCCTGAAGACGTCATAGCCATACTCTAATACAGCAGCACGCTCCCTGTTTTCTGCGGCAACACTGGCACAGCTCAAGGGTCACTGCCTCAACACAACAGTATCACATACTGCACGGGGCAGCACTACTACAGGTTCCCAGTTCACTGCCACCCTCATTCCTTCCAGGAAGTCCTTCCTCATTCCTGCACTCCCCTCAATGCCTGCACTCCCCCAGATGCTCTGGTGCTATGATATCCCCAGGAATTCTGGTTTCCCTTTTAAGTACATGTGCTCTTTTTCAGTCTCGGATTTTGACCTGATCTCTCCTTTTATGTGCTTCATAAATATTGAATACTGTGCTGCTTGGTGCTGAGATGGCTGATAGTTAAGCAGTGCTGAGCAATGGGCAATGAAAGAGAAATTATGACATATTATAACTGAAAACATGATATTATTCATACCATTACTCAGAGCCCTGCAGCAGCTGCAAGGTCTATTTAGAGCTGGGTCCACAAAGCAGACATCCTACCTGCTACCTAGGCAATATTGTGACTGGGGATCAGCCTAGGGATCAGCCTCACACTGGGCCCATTCTATAGCAACGTGTTTTGCTGGCCAGTACATTATTGTTGCTTTTTCACCATGTAATGTAAGCATTAGCTGCATGATGTCATTAGCCAATGGGCAGAACTGTTGTAATGAGAATGAAGTAGGGAACCTTCTTCCTTTCTTCCCTTCCCTCCCCTTTCCTTTTCTCCCCTCCCCTCCCCTCCCCTCCCCGCCACTCTCTTTTCCTTTCCTTTCCTTTCCTTTCCTTTCCTTTCCTTTCCTTTCCTTTCCTTTCCTTTCCTTTCCTTTCCTCCTTACTTATTCCTTTTATTCTTTTCTTTCTTAGTAATTATCTGGTTGTTCTTTTCTTCTTAGGGAGGAACACCAGAAGGTTGCTGATGTTTTTCTCTCCAGAAAATCAAGGTTCAATCACCACACCGCATACATTACACAGTTTGATAGGAATTTGGCTTTGGTGGATGAAACTTGCCTTAAATATTCCCAATTGGCTACCATCATTCGTGAATTTGAGGTAAGGCCCTCTTGACTCTTTACCTGCATTAATACATAGTGTGTCACATGGCTTAGTCATAGACACTCCTGCCTGCAACTCCACCAGTGTTCACGCACAGTAGAGCAGGAGAAAAGTTCTCCTCACATCCTGGTGATAAAACTGATGTTCATGTGTGCGCAATGTGTTTCTGGGTCTGCATCTGTTGCCCACACATCCCTATGTGTTTGTGTGCAGAATTCTAAGTGTGTGAGTCTACAGCTCAATCTATAGCTGAGTATACTTTGCTCATATATGCATGTAATGGAGTAATTTCCTATTCAAATTAATATACATTAATATAAAGTATTAACCTCCCTGAGCATGTATGAAACTTGATATCTATTATTGTTAATATTTGTTATATCTTTCTCACTGCATTTTCCATCTCCTCTTTATAAGTGAATTTACATTTTTAAATGGCTGTTGTGACAGACAACAAATCACACTGCAAAGGAAGGAAGAAGAAAGTCTGCTTGCTAGATAAATACAGGGATCTGTTCATCTAGAACCCTTCGATAGTCTGCAACTGCTGGGTCTTTATCAGTAAGAAAGAAACACTTTCCAGTTGCGTTAGCTCACTCATCCGTGCTGGAATGACGGGAAAAAAGATCATAATGCAAGTGACGGAAAATTCAAGCCATGATGCTTGATTACATTTTTAGGCACCAACAATGCAGCCAGGTCTCATCACTTTAAAAGCATAAACTCCTATGTTGATGTGAATGTTCAGCTCAGCGAAAAGGGTTAAAAGTCATGCTGTTTTGCTGGGCATCTAAAACCCCTGCTTCTTATCATCTTTATCTGATATGAGGAATAACAATGTTTACTCAGGTGGCAGGGTGCTGTGCACATGCATTAATGATTGCACTTGAAAGTTTCTTTCAAATGCTAGTTCTATGGCATATGGGCTGTGTTTTAATCTGCAACACATGTAAAACATTAATGAGAATTCATTTCTAAAGCCACCATTTATGAAAAGATCTGTCAGCATTTATGAAGACACCTTGAAGCTACCATAGTTATTTCCTGTTAGCAACTAAAGGGAGCTCTCCTGACTCATGTCTCTCTGAACAGGAACTTGGTAAATACAAGGTTTCTGCTGATGGTCACTGTTTCTAGCATTCCTTCCAGCCACCTGCCTGCATGCTCATGTCTTAATTATCAACCCTGCGGATTAGCTCCTATTTCTAAATAAATGGAGCTTTTGCTAGGAAAAGATGAGTAGGATTTTGCCCTAGTATCAGTGAGCTCTGATTTTTTTTTTTCCTTCTTGCAATACCTGCAAAAAGCATGTACATGCACACACATGCAAGGGAGGTATTTCTCAGATCTTATTGTATTTTTAAAGCATGAGTACTGTTAGCTTCCAAGCTCATCAACTTGGTTTAGAGATTGTACTTTGGACATCTTTGACTTGAGTATGGGGGCCTGGGAATACCGACTGTGAACACACATTTGGTGAGTTCAGTCACAGGAGTAATACAGTAACAAGCAACACCTCTGCTGCCTTGGAAAACCCTGTTCTTTGTCAGTCTTCTTTTGTATAGTTAGCTCCCTAGACTCCCTTTCACCCTGCCTCTCTTCAGAAGTGTCAAACACTGTGGATATGTAGGTCAATGAACACTGAAACCCTGTGAAACTTGACTGGGTTTTGGACCCATTTCTTGGTCGCTCTGGACATGCAGGGACTTTTCAGGACTGACTTCTGTGGTTTGCTTTTGGCTTTGCAGCAATGTAATGAAACTTAACAGTTATACTCTAAGTTATATATTTTAACTGAGCCCGTATGAGACTCTCTGCAATGGGTTGAATATAAAAAGACAAGGCAAAGAGAAAACTGGTACATCTTTTCCATGGGAGGGTTAAATTGTATCACAGTTTCCCTTTATTTTGCTGCAATAAGACTCTATAGCTACGGGGGATTCTTCTTTTATTTTGCTCAGTTCTTATGTCTTGAAATAAGACACTAAATTGCAGAGAGAAGAAAAAAGGCAACGAGTTCCACTGAGATCTGCTTCCCTGGCTCTAGAGACAGCACCTAAAATCTTTATTCAATCTTTAATCTATTTGGCATTCACAGTCCTTCCTTTTCCCTCCAAGTTCAAACTGTTTTGTGAATGATGCCATAGGAAATAAGCTGCCATTCATAGCTGTTTTTAGTCAAAAAGACTATGTCCCTGAAGAGCTGGATAAATTGAATTGGCTCAGTGGAGCCTGTGCATGCAACTGGTATCAAACTTTCAAGGGACACATTAGGTGGAAGAGGGACAGTTTGGTCTTGAGCTCACATTCCTGATTTTTGTTCCCTCTTCCCTCTCCGGAGGACAGCAGAACTCTGGTGACAGCCCACAGAGTGTGAAGCATCAGCTTCTGAAAGTGGCGCAGCGTGTTTTCCAGTACCATGTGCTGCTGACAGGTCAGTAAAACCAAACTGCTCTCAAAGGTACTACAGTGAAACCCTGCCTGTGATGGCTTGTGCTTCCTTTGTGCTGCATGCCAATGCCAAGACAGCTAAAATATAGCGGCAGAAACTGTAGATTTCTTGGGAACTTCAATCTGATTAATCGCAGATTCAGGAAATGTCAGGGAGCCTGGAAAGGAACCTACAGCATGACCACACTGAAAGGTCACTCAAAACTGTTAAGTCAAGTGCTTTTAGCCCCTCCTTTCTGGCTTTACCCTTCCATGAAAGAAGAGAGGCAGAGTTCAGAAACCTCACTGCCACTTGACAAGTTTGATTTTATTTACATCAAGGGTAATTATCAGAGGCAGTAGGGGACTGCAGTTCCCAGAAAGGGGAGGCCCCTAGCACTGTGTACACAGTCATGGAGTGACAAAGCACTGTCTCCTTCTACTCTTATCAACAAAGCATTTGTATTCAGCACTGCACCCTATACTCCACATGCACTATACACCAAAGACTAGCAATGACTTCAAGTGAAAATCCCAGACAAATTTCCCTGCATTGTAGAAAAGTCCAAGCAGAGGTTCAGATTTGTATGTTGCCTGTAATAACACCACCACTTCAGCACTGGATACATCACTCCCACCTGAGGTCTCTCTAGCTGCATCTTCTGACATTTGTTCTTTCCTGTGGCTCATTCCCTGCTAGTCACAGAAAACGTAGCAGGTCTGGGCCTGGGAAAAGAGTAGTTTTGTTGGAGAAGGATGGAGCCCTCGGCAAGATTTGTGAAGTTTAGGTTTTTGCTAATGAGCTGGCTGAAGAAAGAAGTGGTGAAATTTAACAACAAACTTCAGTGTTGCCCAGTAAATTTGACAGATTGAAACACAAGAAACCAAGAGAAAACAGGAATACATAGACATAAAGATGAAGAACTGTTTGGGGAATATGTATTGTGTGGGTAGAGAGAGATGTAAGATGAGTTATGTATAGGACAGTAAAAAGGAAGCCATAAACCATGCCCATATTCAACAGCTGATGAAAGACACAGCATATTAGAAGTGACTCCTATAAATGCAGAAGAATAAACGGACCATACGAATTGCTATTCACAGCACAAGTCAGTGATAGTTTCATCTTGTTCCAGACACTTTGATCAAGGATGCAACTCATTTTTCACAACAGTTTTTGCTTTTTTAGTCACAGCAATACAAATGAACACCAGATGCCAATAGTTTTTTTTTTTTGGTCTGATTTGCTTCCCTCTCTGGGTGTGTCTACATTAAGGGCAACTTTGCAGCCTGGCAGCTTGAAATACTTAGCTGTCTCACATGGTTTTTACAGTGTTTTCAGTGGATACACAAAAACACGGCATCTGAGAAAATGCACGTCCCCGTCACAAATATCCCCAGCACACTCCACTTTCTGTGTCCATCTCCATGGTCCACAAGGTAAATTGCAAATATAAATTTGTGAGAGAGTCAGAAGTGTATGAGTGCAACCCCAGTGATTGGATGTCCCCTCCATGCTTGAAGGAGCTTTAGCTACTCCTTGCTCCAGGTACTGGCACTAACTAGGAAGGTGAAAGCTTTCTAGTCCCCTGGATGGTTTTGTGTGCACAAAGGAATAATGGATAGGGAATGAGGGAATTTCATCATATTCCAGAACTGCTACTGTAGTTCTTCACCTGAAAAACAACAGCCCCTCTGTGGAACTGGAATACGACAGGAATTGTGTAGTCCGTAAGTTTCTCCATGCACCACAAAATTGTATCTACATATGTAGATGTAGGTGCTCTTGCGTATTCAGAACTGTCTGCTTCTAACAGATAAGGAATGGTATTTTACCAGGATGTTGGTTGCCAGTTACTGCACTACAGCCAAAAGGTTCAGTTAAATGAACCAAGCCACGAACAGAGCTCCCAACTGCGAAAAGGAACACTGATACTGCCTGACAATACCACACAAAAACTTTCTGCCTTAATGGGTGCAGACAGACTCTCTCCTGAAGTCAGGTTAGAGCAGGTACAAATCAGGGCAGTAAGGAGGGGACAACATTGGAAAACTGCATGCATAATGGATAGGACACTCAAAGGTCTCTGTGATCAGCATCACCTACAGCACATAGGCCTGGTTCTTGAATGCAGAATTTAGGAGTCTGGATTCATCAAAGAGATAAGAATGAAGTATTTCAGGATTGGGCTTCATACATGGTGGCACTCTCACTACAGTCACTAAAGGCATAAAAAGTTCCTCACAGAGAAGAGACAGATGATCTATGTCAAGTAGGCCAGGTAAGGCTGACAGGTTAAAAGTTCGTAGATAACTTAAACGTAATTCCTATAAAAATAAGTCCTACTTCTGTGTCATTTACAGAACCTAATGTCAAAATGCGATTGAGTTCAACAGTAACCACAGAAACCTGCATCTATAGAACCAGAATCTACTTCCTGTGAACAGACAATTAATTTTCTCTTAATAAAGAGAATCAGTCATTGTTGCAAACACCACTCATTTAGATGAGAAAACAGCATTTATGAAAAGAGCAGCTATTAGTAAAGCAGTGCTTCTCAGCATTTCTCTTGACTGAAAAACAAGGAAATATTTTTGTCCCTCTGTTTGTTTGTTTGTTTATACTTGCCAAGTTATGTGATGAGCGCAGATTTGATTCAAAGCAAGATCTCAAAACAGAATGCAAAGATGAGTTTCAATTTGTAAAGAGATTATATACATTTAATTATGCAGAAATGAAGGGGACCTTCAGGTTTTTTTGTTTTTGGTAATACAACTCCAGATTATGAGGATCCTCATTCTGATTACTGGATATCTGTGTTTGATTGTTTTCTACAGATTACTTGAATAATCTTTGCCCTGACTCTACAGAATATGAAGCCACGCAAGGTAAAACAAAATAGGCAGAACAGAAATTTTCCTTTGCTAATTCTCCTTCTAACCATGTGTGTGATCTACATCAAGAGTATGTGGAAGAGGCATATTTTCAAGATCTCAAGTTAATATATCTTGAGTTAGATATAAGAACTATTAGAACTCATTTAGATAAATTATTTACAGTAAGAACCTTTTTCCATTGAAATTTGTGGGCTTCCTTTAGTTTTGGCATGGTGAGCACACAGAAGAAATGATTATGTATAGAAGTATGGTACAAATACTGTAGTTTGGCCCTAGACAGCAGAAAAAGCCTAGACTTCTTTGGCTCCACCCATACTTGCACTGCAAATGGGTTGGTTCAATCTGCTGGTCTGTACATCATTATCCAGGCCATACCTGATTCTGTCTGTACTGTTCAACTTTGGAGCCACCAGGAGGTTTGAATCATGCGTCTCTATCTCTGTATTCCTTAAGCCCATGTATACTTGAAAGACAGTGCTTTAAAATCAGTTCTGTCTAATCAATAACTAATCCAGATTTTCAGTTGTTAGTATCATCCTTCCTACCACATCAGAAGGGTAAAGCAGAATTTGCTTACTCCCACTGAAGTGGAAGGTAGGATAGCCTTGCCCTCAGTGGGAGTAGCTTCATGCTAGGGTAAGAAAGAATAATGTTGCATTAACAAAACCAGACCACCCCTCTATTATACTGGGTGCGTACCCAAACCAACTCATAGCAAGGAGATCTGCAACTCTCACTGGCGCAAAACCTAGTCTAGGCCCCAGTCAGTGACAGTGGGATTTCAGCTATACCAGCAAACTGAACAGAGCTAGGGCAGATGTTCGAGCCATGGGGCCACATTTGCCATTCTGTTGTTAGCACACACCTGGCACATTTCTGCCCAGTAAGCTCCCAGCTGATGTCCAGGAATGGGCAGGACATCTTGTTTCATAGGTGAAGAGATTTAAGATAAGGACCTGAGTGGTCTTATACCATTTTCCTCACAGCCACTGAATGTGGCCTAGCCCATGTTATTTGCCAGTGGCAACTCCAGAAGTTCATTCACATCATCACCTCATATACACTTCTGTCAAAAACGGATGAACCTGTCCTCTCCCTTGACAGTAAAGGACAACCAAATTTTTGGATGGCTAAAGATAGGCTACACAATATTCTCGCTGCCACAAACTCAAACTGTCAAAAATCTGCAACTGGAAAATGCCACAAAATTATTCTGTGCCAGTCTAGACACACAAAGGAGACTTCGCAAGCTCACCTGCACAGCACCATCATGAACAAAATTTTGCACAAGAGAAGGATGAAGGAGCGGGGAATAGACAGCACTGTTGTGTCCTAAATTTGCCAGGCAGTTCCATCCTGAAGGTGCCAAAGGAATGCAAGGAGTGGCTTGAGACTTCGAGGAGTTTAAAGATGCTCTTGTATATAGAATGGATTTGGGTTATTCTTCCTCATCTCATTTATGATTTATGTTCTTTGTTTTGCTTCATCTCTTAGCTGCCTTACTCATTGTCTCTGAAATCACAGACCGAGCCAATGACAGCATGCTCCAAGGGGTAAGTCCCACCATATTCAGTCTGAACAATAGCATTTTTTGGCACATCTACTGCAGTGAATGCAAATCTGTTAATTCTGAAGCCTCCTTGAGGTGACACTCAAGCATTTGTACAGCTCTGGTTTATAGTGCTGGAGTAGGTCTAGGCCCATTAATGAAGCTGTACAAGATCCAAGCTGATGTGGCATGAATCACAGTCTTTTCCTGCCTAAAGTTGTTGGAAAGGCATATGGAGCAATGAAGTCATAAATTTTCATAATTCTGTTTCTAGCATGTGATGTTTTTAGATATGCAATCTTAAAGACAGCACAGGTGTGCTACCTGAGACATCTTCCAAGCTCATTCACATGACTTCAAGAGTCTGGACTTACATTTTACTTCAGAAGAACAGGTCCTAATTTACACCATTAAAGATCAGCTCAAATTGACCAAAACTTTCCCAGGTTAGAGCTCTTGTGTAAATACAGATTTAGGCATCTAAGTAAATTAAATACCCTTCCAAAATACTGAGCAGTTCAGTGTAATTTAATAATACCTCTCACACAGTATTACAGTCCTAATCAACTGGCCAAGGTAGCTTGCACATAACTGTCCTTATCATCATTTGTTTCCAAGAATCTAGATCTCATTTTTACCTAAGTTTTGCTATTGACAGTAATAAGAAGCAATGTTAAGAGGCACAGAAGGCAGTAATCAGACACTGGATACAGCAAATTTCTCAGGCATTTAATTTGGTGGACCTCCTTGCAGCTTTAGTGCTGCAGACACAGCATTCAGCTCAAGGAATTTGTAAGAAGTGTCTACAGTCCTCATAGCTTAATGAAATGTCAAGAAATGCTACAGTCCAAAATCTTAACAACGCCATTTTTAAAGCCTTCCTCTCAATGCCTTCAGACCACCAAGGATAGGAGCATTACTATGGGAGTTATCAGTGCAGTTGTGTTCTTGATGATGTTGACCATTATGGTGGTTTCTTAGTGACCACACAGATGTCAGGACAAAGCATCTCATTCCAGTCATCCTGCATTTCACCCAATAATGAGTGGTTGCACTTGTGTTTCTTTCTCAAAAGCTGTCTAATCTCAAGTATTTAGATACACTGATTCCAAGTGATGGTGATATATCATATCTTTTGGGAAGCTGATCACATTTTACTTCTCACTTAAATATTGCAGACTTTAGGATCCTGCCTTGGGATTTGGCTGTGCTTGTATCTGCTAAATTAAGGATTTGTTTGCAATTGAAAACCTCCCTCCCTATGGTTAATTACACATCGTAGTTAAGACATTTATTTATAATTTAATCTACTGAGGACAGTGTTGCTAATAATCACTCAGCTGTCAAAACATGAAATCCAAGAGACACAGTGGAAAACACCTGGGCAGTAATGTGGACAAGGGGAAGAAAGCGACAGGACATACCAGCCCTTAAGAAGAAGGGTTTATTTTCAGATAGGATTTTAAAGTTGAAGGAAAGAATGTACAGAAACTGACAGACAGGGAAAGACATGAGGCCCACCACAGTCACACACCAGCACTGCTTATTCAGCGTGTTCCCTTTAATGCCTTTGCTCACTGCTGGTGGAGAAGGGGGAGCACAAGGGTGCTTGATGAAGCAGTGAATTCACCCTAGAAAATCCATGTAGGTGAAGCTGGATGAAGGACGTTCTCTGCAACAGCTTGGGAGGTAATGAAGAAATCAGAAGTGAAGATGCTCTTCATCTTTTTAAAAATAAAGAGCTTTTGTGCTGTGTTCAGAGGAAAAGTAGAAGCAGCTCTTTTCAGTAGATGAACCTGAGAGCCAAAAGCCTCAGCTTTTACTCACATCTGGAAAACTCTGCTGTTCAAGTTTAAAAGTTATGTCTTATGTGTTTGCCGAGACCATAAACGTGGCCTGTGTTTTCACGAGCTGCATCACAGCACAAGGTACAGTGATGATCTCCTCATGGCCAAAGACAAACTCCAAGTCTTTTAGTATTTATATCAGAAAGGGATAAATGGGCAATTAAAATTATATACTATTTTCTTTGCAGATATGCTTCCTTCCCCTTTTGGTAGCATTAGGAATAAAGACTTAGGCTCTGCATCTGCTTTCCCTGAAGCCAGTGGCAAAATTACTGCAGATCAATAAGAAGCCCAACTAGTACACTTTTCATGCAGAGACGATCTCAAACCACATGAGCGTATCAAGATTTTGAACATCCTAAAGATCAAGGTTTTTAAGGCCAAAACTCAAAATTTAAATCTGCTTTCTCATTTAGTGCTAATTGCAAAGAAGTCTGGACTTTCTTTTTTTTTTCAAGTCCATCTTTGCTTTTCTCTTCCAAGTTTCTCCTCACGGCATCTAGTGGAAAACATGTTCCCCCTTTATGCAGTAACATCAGCCCAATGGCAGTGCTGATGTGCCTTGGTGACAACCCAATATCCCCAAACCTTCACCTTGAAATCATCTTTCTTTTATACCTCCTAATTGCTAAGGAAAAGTTTTAAATATACACCATGTATAACCAATGCAACAACCTGTGATTCAGCAACTAGGAATCCTGAACACCTTTGCCAAGTAGTGTAAGCTATGTTGATCTCCTTTGTTGTTCACTTTGTGCTTGAAACACCAGCAGAGGGCACCTACTTAGGACTGACTGCAGGTCCACTGGGACCCAGGCACTGGTTTGATAAAAGCATTCACAAATCTTTTATTGACTAATTTTTTGCTATGGTTGAATTTTGTTTGGTTTAGGATCATGCTGGGAGATTAACACTAAATGAAGTCCTAGGCTTTGTTCTTTACCTGTACTCTGGGCATCTCACAAACCCCATGTGTGATTGAAACCTCAAGTGTGATTGAAGGAGATTCCCAGAAACCTGTTGCTAGGGAATGAACAGCTTTTATGCAAGGCTGGCAGAACAATATGTACAGCAGGACACAAAGAAGACTCACAATTAGATCCAACCAATTTGTCATCAAACAGCTGGGCAGTGGTCAACCTCTAGCTTTTTTCATATTTCAAAGAAAAGCATTGCATTTGCTGTGTTGCATTACCATGGAATTGATTTTTATCTCCACTAAGCCATGCTTTAATTCAAAGAACATTAGCAGATCCTCTGAGTTCTATAGATGCAATAGTGTGTTTAATTATTGCTATTAAAAGTGTCTGTCAAATTCCACAAAGATTTTTACACTTTTTTTTTTTTATCAAATCATCAGAGCAAATCTGCTCTTTTGGAAATTGTGATCAGGAAGAGATGAAATAAAATCTCTCATCTCTGTGAATGTTGTGGGTTCACAAAGGGGAGAATTAAAATATTCTGCTATGTCAGAGACTGTTTTCCTTAATTAATATCTCAACAACAAACCAAATAATGTCATTCGAAATGGAGCATTAATAACTTGGTATGTACCTGAATGACGATCCAAGCAATATTTTAGACTGGGCATGTACCTGGAGGGGGAAAGATTCCTACTGCCAATATACTCATCAAATTGCACTCCAAAAATCTGACAGGAACACTGAACTACGATACACATTTTCTGCAGAGTTTCAGTAATTCACTATCAGCTTTTTGTTGTTTTTTTATGCTAATAACACTACAGCATTTTTTCTCCTGAAAACTATTAACCCAGGATTTTCAGACACATTATGATATCAACTATTTCCACAGTGCTCTTCTCAAATAGAAAATTATTATTCACAATTTACAGATGTGCAAAGGCACAATGTATACCATCACCACACAGCATTAAGAGTATCTATAGGAGACATTCACTACTTGAACTAAGTAGCATTTGCATTATTTTGTGAACTTCTACAATGTTAGAGGTCCTGAGATGCTAAGAGCTATAAATCACTGTTGCTATTAACATCTGCTGAATTCCTCAGGGAAGCAGTTCTCCCGCCTATACAAAATGAAAATATGTTCCTTGCCTAACAGAAGCTGCAGTTCACTGCTGAACTGGCTAGAGATGGCTTTCAGCCACCCCACATCTGCAATACTAACTGGGGGGAGCTTTGTTTTCATTTTTTAATTGTAATTTGTAAAGGATTTTGGAAGGAGAATGATAAGAGTTTTAAGTGAAATTAAGAAAATCATATAATCAAGGAGTTTAAGGGAACCATAGGGAAATTCTACCCCTCTCAGCTGCCCACCACAATCCCTCACATCTGATGGCTGTTCAACTTCCTACCGGAAATGAGTCTGATACATTCCTGTCTGCTTCCTGATGAACATGTGCACATACTGCAAGGGTCAGCATTGTAACAGTCGCTCCTGCCAGCAGACCAAAGAAAAGCAGGGATGCATCTGAGCTGCAGTAACGGAATTCTCCTGTCACTCTTGAAGAAACCCTCGTAACTAGCAGTAACATTTGCCCGGAGAGTGCTCCCAAGAGGGCACTGCCCTTTTTGCAAATGAAGAAGGGATTTCTGTTGTAGAAGCTATCAATTTGACAAGTTTCAATAGAACTAAAATACCCTTTAGTCTTTTGCAATTGTCTTTTGCAAATGTCAGCTGTCCCATGATCCCTGGTATTTCCCGTAGTCTTAGATTATACATTCTGTTTCCGTTTTGCTGGCCCACAGTATTTCAGAAGTGATCTGAAAAATTTCATTTGTTACTGCTTGCAATGCAAAGGAGATACTTGATGGCTGAAAAGGTCTTGAACTGCCAGCAATGTTGCAGCATCACAATGCATTTCTATGCTGGTAAAGCTTGCTGCCACTCAATGCATGTTTGATAGATGGTTACATATTAATAACTGAACTTAGTAATCATTTCTTTGGCAGAATTAATAACATAACACTAAAAAAGTGTAATATTTCACTGAGGTAGTAAAATTCAGAGATATTTCAGGCTTATCTTAAAAAGCAAGCAGAGATATGAACTAATTGATTGATTGTGCTAGCTGAAATTCAGGGTAAATTAGCCTTGACAGACTATCATGCTAACATGGATATACTCCTTCTGATATCTGTGATTACTTTCTTAATTAGCTGACTTTATAGACCACACTGATTTGTGTCACACAGTATATCCCTGGTTGCACTGTACGCTCTAGTACTGTCTAAATAAGCCCAGAAATAGCTTAATGCCACTGAGTAGAGAGCAGGAAAGCAGACCATTATCTACCACAGCTGAAAACTGTCATAAAAGGCTGCTAGGCCATGAAGCTGTTTTCTCCCCTGCGCAAATATGGCCCTTAGTATGTAGTTTATCCAGGTGTGTAACTGAGGATTTAAGACAGAAAGACTAATTTGAACAAAGGAGTCCTAACTTTTAGGTTTATTCCACTGATGTCTCATTGCTGCTGTGCAGTCCATTCTGCTGTGCTAACCAGATAAAACCACAGCTGAATACTGCCCTACAAACCTGGGTTTTAGCAGCATCACCTGCTATAAGGCAGGTGAATTCAAATGACTTTAGCCCTGTTGTAAAGGTAGAAATATACCTTCTTTCTCCTCTGTATATTCCATTCGACATCATCTCTTTCATGAGAACACAGGCTTAGTTAGATTAATTTTAGATACCATCTTCAGGGTATTTTCAGAATCATATCACATGCCAGTGTTCAGTAACTCTGTCTTATGCTCTCGGCCCAGGTAAGCAGGTAACAATACCAGAGCTTGATAACGAACTTTCTGATCTTTGCAAAGCAACAAAAGACAGACCCTGTTTCATTACTTGTTTAGTAGTTAACTTCCAAATCCTCTAGTGCAAAGCCATTGATCCATTAGTATGGGATATAAACCTCCAGATAATACTAATAATGATCCCCTAGTAATAGAACATGCTTTGGATTATGTGTGTCATATCACTAATGCACATACCTTTGGAGAAGATAATGCACTTTCTCTTTGTTTCCAGCTTACTGGTTCCCAGATAAGAAAGTTATCAAAGAGTCTAAAAACATGCCTAAAAACTGCACAAGGTTAGAACAGCCTTTCCAAAGCTGAACTGAGGTGTAAAGGAGATATTAAAGAGATAGCAAAGGTAACAGAGATGTTGAAGGTCACAAGATTCATGAATGCAGATCATCAGGTTTCACAAAAAGCTGCAAGAAGGTTTTCTAAACCTAAATTCCATGGGCCCAGTTCTCTCTCTGAAATCTAACTTTACAGTGTCACTGTAACCTCCTAGATAGAGAAATAAAATGGTGAAACAGAATGAAGGAGGCTTTGCCTGCTTGTCTAAAGAACAATCACCAATGCTAAATGCTGTTTCTCTTCCTTAGGAAAACTTGCAGAAGCTGGTGCACATTCAGCACAGTGTCAGGGGGCAGAGCAGCCTCCTCCAGCCAGGAAGGGTGAGTGCTGCAGGCAGACCTATGCTGATACGGGCATTGTTTCTGGCCAGCTTTATTTCTGACTGTGTGGATGGTGAGATCTCAGATGTCTACAGGTGTTGTTTACTGAGTCACTGTGATAAAAGTTGTGGACCTGGCTTGTGTCACTCTGTCATCACTCTGGCAGTTCTCAAAGATACATGCCAAGAGCATCACAGCGGGGAAGACAGGCATTGCCCCTGCTTTCACAGAGCGCAGTCGTTCGGTTTACCACTCCAGCCACCCCGGCTGCCCCATTACAATGTGTTTTGGAGGAGTCACTGTTCTGTGTTTCACATATCCATGTTGAAAGGTCTGACATACTTGAAGGCTGGAAAGGCCTTTTTATTTGGGTAAGCAAGAGCCTTAAATCAGGGGAAATTATTTGTTTTAAATTTATTCTTATCATTCCTTAGTGCTGCTTTTAGTGCAAGACACCATTTTATAGCAACATATAAATAGAAATGTGGAAGTATGTGAAGCTTTGCCTTGCTATCCACAACACAAGCAAATTTCCCTTGGCTATCAAGTCTGTTAAGCTTCTTCAGCCCCCACCACCTTTATGCTTCAAAAGATCTCGTTGAATTCTGCAACTCCAAATTTCCCCTCAGTCCAACAGAATCTTTAGCAAAATTAATGGAGGAATTTCAAGACATACATACTCCTGAGAATCTTCATCAGCCAACAGGGCAGCCAACCACTAGCATTATCATTCCCACTTGCTCTTGCCAGAGAATATTTTAATAAAACCAAACACGCAGATTTTGGAGGATTGGTCTCTTTGAATCTAAATTGTTTTAGCATGGAAAACTGTCCATCAGAGCAGAACTGATGACTGCTATAGTTCAGTTATTCTGGACTATCCACAGACATCGTCATAAGAGGGATGGACAAGGAAAGAATAAAACTGTTGTGCTTGCAGACACGTAGAGACAATGTAAACAGACCTGGTTATTTAGATGTAATACGCTGAAAACTGAATTTTCAGTATTTATGTTTTTTAAAAGACAAAAGATTGTGTCGGGATCCTATTAGTTTTGTGATCTGTGACAGTGGTGTCTGACAAGTAGATTTCCAAAACCCATTTGATACAGATACAAATGAAAGCCATGAAGAACAGTATGGTTAGCCCTGGTAAAGACTAAGAGAAATCTTAAGGACTTGGGCTAAAAACAAGTGCAAGGTATTCATCTCTTCCTGTGATGATGACAGTAGTTAGGGTTCCTCCTTTTCTGGTAGAGATATTCTGTTCTCAGTAAACTTCAGAATAAAGCCTCAGCATTATAAACCACTGTTTTCCTCTTCAGATCTTTGTTAAAGAGGGAACACTGATGAAAGTTTCTGGAAAAAAATGGCACCCTCGGCATTTGTTCTTGGTAAGATTTTGTATTTTTGTCTTTCTCGTGTCTTTTCTGGGCTTATGCAGACCTGAACGCGGGCAGAAACTTCAGGTGTGCAGGTTGTTTAACCACCAGCAGTGATGTGATGAGTTGGCTAACAGCAGTCTGTTTCACACATGTTCCACTGTACTGCACACTGGAGTACCGGAGTGCAGCCTTGTTTCCTGGCTACTTACAGCCCCGGCTATAAGACGGTGATCAAAATTTGAAGAAAATTAAGAGAAAATGAACCATTTGTTTCATTTCTCAGGGACTTCCCACCTTACAAAAAAAAGAGAAGTACTTAACAAACAAAAGAGAAAGAAAACCACTGGTTTAAAACCACTGCCTTCAATGCCCATGTTTTTATTTTGTATTACACACTGCACCTGAAACTCCAGTTTTCTGAGCTGTAGTCTCAACTTTGCAAAGTTGAGAATATATGCAGACATTTTTATGTACTATGCTTTAGAAGTTTCAGATGCTTATATGCTTGTGTTTGTAAAGTTCTTTAGTGAAAACAGTCACAAAATCCTAAGCGTTTTTGCTAGCATTAATGTTGAAGAACCCCATTTAAAGACTTTATTTTAAAATAAATGGGTTATAGGCCTAGAATATGTATTTTTATGGCCTGTGTAAATACTGACAGCTTTTCACTCTGGGACCAATGCAAAGAGGACACTCTTGTGTATGCCAGCTATGCTTGAAATTTGACTCTCTAGTATTCTATGGGATAACAGAAAATCCCAAGATTTGAAAAGTCTCCTAAATATTGTCTCTTAAAAACATCACTCACTAAAGCCTTTATATTCCAAGGATCATATTACAATTCTTTCAAAGCCACTGAAAGAACTCCTGCAGTATAAGGATTTACTCTAATATGCTTATCAACACAAACTTTCAGAACTGGATTTTTTTAATGATTCTTCTCATTGCCATTGCTACCCAAAAAAGTCATCAGAAGCTGATATGTGTAAGTTTACTTTGTTTGGATTTTGGATGATATAAGTTTACCTTAGCTAACCAAAACAGAATTCTACATGATTAGTATTTTTCAAAGTTCTCTATAGTGAACTTTGCCTGAAGCTGAATCAAGACTTCTACTCAGTCTGTGCAGTCAGGGTGTGCTTTGGTGATGTGTGTGAACTTGTGGTCTGAGTATTCACCCTTAAGCAATGTTTTATGTCTGTGCACAGTTCCTACAGGCATGAGTATGCAGCACACACATTCAGGGATTCTTGGGGTATATGTGTTTCTGTGGGTGTATATTGTGTGTATCACAAAGCTACTTGAGCTGTCTTGTGAAGGCTGATGGTATTATTGAATCTAGTGTTTCCTGGCAGGATGTTTGGCAAGTTTTGCTGGGCGCCTGTTTCCTGAGCCCAGTCTATGTTTACAAGGATGTTGGAGCCTTTTTGCAGCACAGTATGGGCTGCTGACGCTGGAAGGCCCTGTAATCACCCCTCAACTACAGGACTTTGCAACTCGGACACTATCTCTTATCTCATCCTTCCAAGAATTTCTCTACAAAAGCTGCTTGTATTGGAAGTGGGGTGGGGGGAACTGCCATCAAATAGCAGACTTTGTTTAATGCTCCATCCAGCAGAGCTGGAACATAGGAGCCTGCAGGTTGGAAAATGCAGCCCCAGCACACACTCAGAATGCTCCGTTGATACTCAAGAGTATGTTTAGCACCAACTTAAACAACACGGGGTCCATAAAAACTACACATTAAAACAATCAGAAAAAAAAAAACATAAAAAAACAAGTAGGAGCTGTTAGACAAAATAAGTATGAAGTATCGGTGCCAGCAATTCAGATAAACCTGCCTGAATCAAAAATTTCACAGAGTGTACATTAGAAAATTTGCTCTGACCTCTAATGTTATGGGTTTCCATCACAAGAGAAGGGACTATAAAGAAAGGTGGGGGAGAGGCAGAAGTGTCCCTCTCTGTCCTTCATTATTAACTGTTTTACTGGGGAATGAATGTTTCTGTGCATGCAGCAGTGCAGAACAGGAATATCTGTCCTTCACTGACACTCATGCAGTCTAGGGATCCCAATTATTCAGGAAGCTTTCTGGCAAACAGAAGTGTGTCTGAGAGGACTGCAAGGAAGTCCCCTGGGGCTGTGGCAGTTTGAGCTCTTTTACCACAAACATCTGAGAGTCTGCAAGGTCAGCTTTTATTATGGCTCAGACCTCACTGCTTCAGGAAACAATGTGTCTGCAGTAGTATACAGAAAAGCAGAGTGTGAAACTAAAGAATTCTTGAAACCACTGACACTAGTTCTGCACACAGTCTAGTTCTGCACAAACCATTCGTACAGCCACCAGTGAGTTCTCAAGTACAGATGTGGCTAAAGAGATAATAAAGGATCCTTTTCGTGTATGTGCCTTGCTTAGCAAGCTTCGAAATATCTGTTGTAATTTCACTATGACAAGTTGTGGCTGATCAGACCTCAAAAAACATTAAGAGTCACAGCCCTCCTCCATATACTGCACAAAAAAAACAGGAGGAAGAAGAAAAAAATAAACTCCAATGGGCAATTATAAAATAAAACCATTAGTAATTTTTAATAAAATCTTGGTATATTAATCAAAGTTGTCACAACAACAGAATTCACCAGAGTGTCTTCCTTAAAGAATGGTAATAAAATAAGCTGATTTTTAAAGAAATATACCTTTTAAACTAAATGAGGTTTGCAGTCCAAAAAAAAGCAGGAGTACATGCTACCAAAATCCTAAAGACTTGTCTTAGGAGTGTACTTTCTCTGGCCTACTGTTCATAATTAACCTTTTTTTTTCCTGAGTTCTGAAACAAACTTCAAGTACTGGCATTGATGACTGGCAGAACTATTGTTTTGTCCTAATAATCCTTTGAACATTCAGTAGGCAGCAGAATCACCAGAAAAACGTGAGAATTCATTAGGAAATCCAGAGTATTATCTAATGTTAGTACTAAAGCCTGTCTTTTTTTTATTTCCTTTTTCCCACTTGGCTGTTCCAGTCCTTGCTGTCACTGACTTAAAGTGAAACCTACACATCCAGTAATACCAAGTTAAAACAGCTTCCATTTGATTTTCCCTGAGGTTTACATTACATAAGTTCTCCTATCCATGCCTATGTATCTTCAGTATGCCATTCGTTGTGATAAATTTTCTGGTTATGTAGAACCCTCGTTAAATTGGGAATAATTGTGTGGTCAGTACTGTACAGGTGTCACTGTGCTGACTGGATTGATGTTAGCATGGAAAGTAATTTATGAAGTCATAAGTAAATGGCATAAAAACTCCATGACAAGCTATTTGTCACTATTTCTATGGTAATTCTCTTGTGTTGCTACAAAAGAGGTAAATACTTCACCGAGAGTCTGAAACTTTTCTTCTGACTCAGTATGTTTTTATATACTCATTTGAAAAGTGCTCTATTAAAAGAGCTTTAAACTATGCATTAGTTAACTCACCAGAAAGACCTATCACCTGGCCTAAACACAGCTTCAGTGTCAGTGGAATCCTGAGAGAAACAGGGCGGCTGCATTCCGGGCAGTTTGTACTGCCAGGTAGTGAACGCGCAGGCTCCCTTCCCAACTTGAACACCACACTGCATTGCATTGCCCTTGAACAGGCGGCTGCTTCACCCAGACTGGGCAGAAGAGTTAGGGAGAGAGGGAAAAAAAAAAACAGCAACAACAACAAAGCTCAAGGAGCTTTTTATGCACTGGCTTAGCCATTTGCAGCAGTCAAAAACGGGATGGAATCAAAGTCCAGGATTCAGGCTCCCTTGAGCTCCGTGGAAATGCAGGTCTTGATCTAACCTGTGTAGCTTAGGCCTGTCTTCAGCAACAGCCCTAGCAGTTCATCACGTTACTGCTTATTCTGGGCATCCCCCAAAGAAATAATGGCCAGGCTGGCAAGTCCTATCACAAATTATTGATTTTGTCTTTCTCTTCATATAGATGAATGATGTTCTGCTGTACACATATCCCCAAAAGGATGGCAAATACCGACTGAAAAGCACCTTGGCTGTGTCAGGCATGAAGGTAATACCTCATCTGTATTACAACCTAGAATTAAAGTTGTATAGTAGGTTGTTAATACTTTATTGGTTTATGTCTCACTTCTAGCTGAGTGCAAGGGGATGGGAGGATGGACTTGTTAGCAGGGGACTCCCCTTGCTTCTTACAGGACTCAGAAGGAAAAATAATATAAAGCAAACAAATAGCAATCTTATCTATAAGGCTGTGAATTAGTACTACAGCCTTTTTCAGGCTGATCATGAATAATGCAAGCCAAAATAAGATTTACTATCTGATCATGAAACTGGAGGTGCAAAGATTTATTATCCCATTTTGTTCATTCACCTCTGTCTACAGCAAATGCACGATTGTTCCCTACAGCATATCCACTAGGTCTTAGGCTGCCTGGTTTTAAACTCCTGTCACTACAAATTTACATAAGCTTTCATTTGCCTCTATTTTCTGTGCCCTTTGACTGCTTTCATCAAATTAACGGATGACATGGTATTAATAGATTCAAAAAGTGATTAGTGCACTTCATGGAAAAGGTACACTGGGTGCTATTACATGCAATAATATAGACATAGTCTCTTATTCAGCAAATCCCTCAATGGTAGATTGTCAGAAACTGGACCTAATTACT